GGTGGTGACAGGTGCGGCTTCTGTGGCCACCCGGAAAGTAAGAGCCAACCAGAAAATTTATTTGTAAACACAAGCCCGTTAAGAGCAGGCATTTTTTTTCCCAACCTTGTTAAACATTAACACGCGGTAAGTGCTACTCCAGTGTTCGTGGACTTACGTACACGGAACTTACCGAGAGGGACAGCGCAAGCGTCAGGTGCGCAAGAATTGCAAGAATCGACTCAGCTTGTTCTTTGAACTTAATTTATTTAAACGATAGTCGAAACAAGGAAAGAGCATGTAAAGGAACACCTTAGAAGCAGTGAGTTTAAGAAGAAATACCATAATGAAGGGAAGAGGACGAGGATGAGTAATATCGAGTTTCAGGCCCGGCGCCACCACCACCTCTCTCACTCCACACACCAACCAGTCCCAATTTTTTTCCCCTCGGCATTTTAGTTTCCCCTTTGAAGTGTAACCTTACGTTATTTTTTTTCCGCGTGTACCGTTACTTCACTGCCTTTATTTTCCACCTGTTACCTTAAGACAACAGTGGAGTATAACACCGCAGATAAACTATAACGGAGAGGGTATAAACCAGTTGCTACAATTGTAAACAATACTTGTCCTCTTCTTCAGACAACATCGCGGAATTTAAAGTATAACGGAGGTAAAAAAAATTAAAAGTGTCGACAAAAACGTTTCTACATTTCCAGGTTCAGTCAAACCCGTGACTGTTGGGCGTAACATGAGTCCCGAAATGAGGGGTTTTGACGATGATAATTACTGGAGAAAGAGGGTGAAGAGAGGGGAAAGGAACCACATTAGGAGAAAAGGGGAAACGCTGACGCCGATGTTTTGCGGTCTGTCTCAAAGGAGAGAACGAGAAATGGAGGAAAAAGTGGAATGGCTGAGGAACCAGCCGTCCGAGGCAATTTAGTGAAATTAAGTGTGTGTGTGTGTGTGTGTGTGTGTGTGTGTGTGTGTGTGTGTGTGTGTGTGTGTGTGTGTGTGTGTGTGTGTGTGTGTGTGTGTGTGTGTGTGTATGTGTGTGTGATATGAAACAATGTTCGATGATCATTTTATCAGGTTGGAAAGGTATCAGAAAAGTGAGGTAATGCACGAGTCTCACATCCCCAGCTGAAGGAGGTTTAGTGTCTTCACCAGTCAGCTGGTAGACTCACCACAAACATATGGACAGCTTTTCACACCCCAACCTTCACCCAAACCCCAACCTTTCTCCCTCCTTCCACCCATCTTACTCATTCGTACCAACCCCTCTCTCAATCCAACACCCATCACCTAACATGAAATCATCACCCACACCCAACTCTTCATATGTAACCATCACACACAAACACATTCATCCGTTCACCCATGTCTTCAGTAACCAAACATAACCAGAGATGTTACAGCTAGGGTTGGGTGAGCATCATCCGACATGTATATAAGACTTAAGGAAGACTTGAATGATTGAAAGACTACTCACGACCACCAGAGTCAGATCAGACTCAGCACGACCACGAACATGACCCACTACAATAAAAAAGTGACTAAGGTGTCATCAATATCACTACACTACTGTGTGTGTGTGTGTGTGTGTGTGTGTGTGTGTGTACTCTTCTAATTGTACTCACCTAATTGTAGTTGCAGGGGTCTATTCCTAGCTCCTGGCCCCTCCTCTTCACTAGTCGTGTGTGTATGTGTGTGTGTGTGTGTGTGTGTGTGTGTGTGTGTGTGTGTGTGTGTGTGTGTGTGTGTGTGTGTGTGTGTGTGTGTGTTTATGTCTGCGCGCGAGAGCTGACGATCGGCGTGAGAGGTGTGTAAGTCTATCCATGGACAGATGTTTGACGGCAGACGCTATATTTTACATCGCTTTGGAATAATTATGCCTTACGCGACACCAGACCTCGCTAGGGAAATTTGAGTCTTGTGGCAGGAGGCAAGAGAGGCGGAAGTGCACTTTTCATCCTAGGGAGGCTTCTGGCAAAGGGAACATGTGTTTGAAGGGCGGTGATATATCTTCCATTTCTTCTGCATAATTATGCAGCGGGTGTCGCTGTTGCTGGTAAGCGACATTGACCTTAATGACACTAGTGTATTATGTTCAAAGTTCAGCGGAGCAATGCGTCACTCTCAGTGTCTTATGGTAGCGAAGACTCGTAATTTGCAAAGTTGGGGCCATGACAGTCGTCAGCCACAATGCACAGAAGGCTCAGCTATGCACACACTGTCAATAATAGAATAGCACCTCGTAACTTGTGGCAGATGAGCCGGTGGTGGGGGGGCGTGGCAGGCACACATGAGTCAGTGTTTAACACTGTGGGAGCCACTGGCAAGATGGTGGCTTCAGGCCCCACCTGGTGGCCATTTCCACAACTTCACTCAACAATACATCTCATTCTTCCTTATGTTCTGGTTTCTCCACCTAACGTTCATACTATATCTAAACGTTTGTTCGTTACATAATTTCTTTTGGCAAATATATTCGCGAACGTTTTTATTAACGTTCTTGGTAAACAAGATGATTCGACGGGTGACTACGAGAGATTTCACGTTCACTCACGCGAGTTATCTTTTCTTATTTAACGTTGAAGTCAACAGAGCAATAGGTCAGAGATGTTCCCGGGGTCTTTCTTCTCCCACCAGCTCCCCCCACACACACACACAAACTCCAAACAATTCCCACACTTGCAACCATACCCACGCCCACACGTGAACCCAAATCCAAGGTCCCAAACAGAGGCGCAGTGCCCACGCGTCTCCCATACCCACAGCCCAAGGAGGAAGAGTGCTCACACGCCTTCCCAAACCCACGCCCACACCCTGTTCACACTCACACCCACGCCCAAAATCTCCAACAGAGGAGCAATGTCCACATTAGCATCGGCCACGATCACCATAATTTGTCGACGGGGATAAATACTGCCAATTTCTCAAGATTTGTAGGCTGGCATTAATTTCCCTCCCCCTCCCCCAGAGTTAAGGAGTCGGGATGATAGAGTCATAACCAACAGGCGCAAATAAAGCGGAAACTCCTGCCGCTAATGCCTGGTAAATCAAGCCACCTCGCCCGTTGCGGAATATTCCGTGATCACCAGTTACTGTGAACCTCGACTAAGGGGCCTTTACGGCGTCGCACATAAATGCTTGGCTGTTATGATCACATTATCGTGTTATGACGCTCTGGTGGATCTAGTAGGAAGAAGAGGACGACGATAAATGGAGAATATAAAGGAGGAGGTTAAAAGAGGAATATAATGGAGGAAAGAATATTGAGGACAAAGGGGAATACAAAGGAGGAAAATAATGAAGAGGAGGAAGAGGAGGAGGAGGAGGAGGAGGAGGAGGGAGGAGGAGGATGAGGAAGAGGAGGGTGAGGAAGAGAAGGAAGAGGAGGAGGGGTAGGAAGGAAGAGAAGTAGGAGAAAAATAAGGATGGGAAGAGAAGGAGCTGGAGGATGAGAGGATAGTCAGGTAACAAATCAGGGAACCAAAAACTTCTACTGGCAAGAAGATCTGAGAGAAAATCTACAGACGACTGGAAGAGATGTTCACTGTGGAGTCAGAGTTAACACCACAGAGACGAAGATACGAGGGAGATCACTGTAAACTGGACAATATCATACACAAGACGGTAAGAAGTGAAAAAAAAACCAAGAAAACTGGGAACTGGAACCTGACAATGTATCAACATAGGCCCTGAAAGAAGGAGCTGAAGCTCTGTGTGAACTACCAGCAAAAGTCTTCAACAAGTCACTGAACGTAAGGCAACTGCCATTGTTCATTAAAGGCGACTAAAGGCAGTAATGAACCACATACCTGCATTCTTGGCATGCATATAGTTATCTAAGGTGGATTATAAGAAAGACTATTAACACAGACTTAGAAAAGGACAGTACTATCTGGCAAATCCTCCGGAGTTCTACGAGTGGGTAACATTAAAAGGGAGAGGGATGAGAAGGCTACATGTCCCTGGTATATGGAGGCTTCACTACTGTATAACAACAGAGACTAATTGATAAACTAAAAGAGTAGGCATGGAAACTGGAAAAGTTATTATAATGGGATTCAAAATGCATAAAGGAAGGATGCAGAGATTGATAGTAAGGTAGAATGTATCAAGTTGAGAAGACATGACCGGTGGAGGTCTCACAAGGGCCTGTATTGAGACCGGTACTATTCCTCATATAAACAAACGACAATCCAGAAAAGAGCGATACCTTTTGTTGTCTGCGAATGATGTAAACCCAATGAAGACAATACAAATTTGAAAAATAGAAAAGGATTATAAGACGCCTTAGACTACTTGGATGATCAGGTAAGTGTAGTGGCTAGAGGTATGAACAAAGTTATTAAAAGGGAAGAAAAGTGTCGGCAGCATATAAACATCTAGCCTAGAGCGCCATTCCGATACCTTAAGAAAGAATTATTCAAGGCTCTTTGTATGATGTATGTCATACTTGTCAAAAGGAGTGCTGTACCATTCTGTAGCCCACACCTATAAAGCTTTTAATTAAACTGCAAAAAGTTCAGGATTTTATAGGACTAGTCTTGTAACTGGAAAAGCTGACCAACGTGAAGAGAACACCAAAGGAAGACATAACAGCAACGTATAAGATATTAATAGGGCAGAGAGTGCAGAATATTTACAAGGTGGGATAGGGACCAGGTGATTCACGAGTTAACCCGTCACTGGTTCCCTGGGATGGCAGGAAATACTTTTCTATGCAGACAGGCAGGAAGGTATGAAGAGAGACAGGTAGGTAAGTATGTAGGAAGTCTGGTGGGGCAGAAAGGTAGGCATGTAGTTAGCTGGAAAGGTAGGTAGGCAGACAGGAAGATAAGCTCAGTGAAAATTATCTCCCATAATTGAACTCAACTCTGACGACAAGTTTTTACGGAGAGAATTACAAGGCTTACAGATGCTGGCAGAGAGAGAGAGAGAGAGAGAGAGAGAGAGAGAGAGAGAGAGAGAGAGAGAGAGAGAGAGGAGAGAGAGAGAGAGAGAGAGAGACTCACGTTGTGTAGCTTGTAGTAGAGACCGCAGGCGTTGCACACTGACTCGCCGTTCTGGTTGCGTCGCCACAGCGTCGTCGTCTGCGTCTTGCAGTTGACGCAAGACGTTCCTTCACGACGATTGGCGGACTGCGGGGATAAATAAAATAGTCAAGGACGTTAGAAGTATTCACTCACGAAGCGACTTCATCAATTCTAGTGGAAATTGATGCAGTGTCTGGCGAGCGAAACATCTCAATAAAGTGTCATGAACTGTATACTGTACCTTATTAACATACTCCTTAATAAGTATCGACATACTTAACATACTGCTATACGGTTTACGGCTTCCTCAGTTCGATACAGAATTTTGGACAGAGGAAGTCACTGGTGGGCGAAACGTTGCAATGGTAAAGATACCCAAGTGTGACACATATGTCCCAGTTCATCAACTTGTCGGTTTTCTGAACCACTTGTCTACAACTCCGGAAAAAAAAATAAGCTTGACAGAGAGAAGCAGTTAGAGCTTTATCAAGGTCTGGGTAGAGCTTGATGAAGCATTACACTAGGAAAAATTTAACAGGTATGGTAGAAAGTGCTTGGTAAAGTGCTAACCACTTATTAAAAAAAAGCTCTTCCCAATTTAATGCTTTATCAAGCTGTACCCAGACCTTGATAAAGCTCTACACACTTCTTTCTCTCAAGCTTACTTTTTTTGGGGTTTGCAGACATATGGTCCAAAAAATCGACAAGTCCTTTTTTTTTTTTTTTGCACTTACTACCATACCTGTTATCCAACAAGGCTGATAAAATTCTGAAAAAAAAATTACCCTCTACTCATTTCACGGTGACATGAAATGGCCAGGTTTATGGAGCTGACAGAAGCATTTCCCGCTAATGTTATTAGACCCCAGCGCTAAACTGATGTAAGAGTTCATAAAGGAGCCATTATAAGGGAAGTCTTAAGAAGGGGACAAGATCGACACCATGATTGCTAGGATTCACCCAGCGGTCGACCGCGAGTAACATCCCCCTCCCCAGTGATCGACCCCCATCTCCTCCCCCTCCCCAGTGATCGACCCCCATCTCCTCCCCCTCCCCAGTGATCGACCCCCATCTCCTCCCCCTCCCCAGTGATCGACCCCCATCCTCTCCCCACCCCAAAGATCGACCCCCATCCCCTCCCACTCCCAAGTGATCGACCCTCATCCCCTTCCCAGTGATCGACCCTCATCCCCTTCCCAGTGATCGACCCCCATCCCGCCTTTTTTTTTTTTTACACTTTTCATGGTGGCGTGCATTGCAAATTTTAAAGAGAATCGATAAATAATTCTGCGCTACTTTCGCAAGGAATTACTGAGCGTTATATAAGCATGATGCAAAAATCACAGTGGTGGTAACGAGAGAGAGAGAGAGAGAGAGAGAGAGAGAGAGAGAGAGAGAGAGAGAGAGAGAGAGAGAGAGAGAGAGAGAGAGAGAGAGGAATAGGAAAACTCCAGGAATAGGTCACAGGCAAATCACAAATCGCTTTTGTGTAAGGACTGGATAAGCTGAAGGTGACTACGGTTAGCTTATATCATTATTATTATTATTATTATTATTATTATTATTATTATTATTATATTCAAGGGAAGTGTTAAGCACTTAGAGCCTGGGGAATGGAATGCAATAAGATTTGATCTAAGAAAAGGAAGGGTACCTCCAATTCATTAAATCAAGAGCCCTTTACCATCATCAAGGCATCAACCTCGAAGGAACTCCTATTAAAACTGACTAAATTATTTCTAGGCAACCAGCGAAAATATGGAGGATTGAAGACGTGCAGTGGGCGCGCCGCCCCCCTCCTCCTGACCGCCCCGAGGATAATCAATGGTAGTGGGCGCTGATGGCACGATAGGGAAGGTGGGCCGTGATTCGCCGAGGATAGCAAATGATTGTGTGGCCAGCACACGGCTGGGCCAGATTAGGCACACTTTTTTCTATATATAAAAAATTGTGTAGGCTAAGAGCTGTCTTGCTTTTAGCTCACTTCAAGGCTTTTTGTTAATGGTATTAAAAATAGATTGGACAGGTAGATTACTGGGTGTGGTTGGTGGGTGTGTGTTGGACCTGCCTAGCGTGGACCTGTATGTCAACCTTCATTATGTACAGTCAAGTATTTAAAATAAAATGCGCTTTATGGCATTTTATTAAAAAGACGTTTCGCCCACCGGGGACTCTGTCAGTTTTTAAGTGAAATGTTACATAAATGGTTTGAAAAACCATTTATGGTTTGGAAAACCATTTATGTAACATTGAAGTGAGATATAACAGAGTCCCTGTTGGGCAACTGTTACTTATGTGTATATCTCTTAACAATATAAAATGCTTTCAGATGAGCTGATGTAGGTAACATCTCTTAGCTTGTAAATAAAGTTAGGAACTCCTAAACCTAACCTTGTAAAACCTTGTGTAAAAAAAAATCTTGTCACTAAAAAATACCATAAAAATTATAGTGTGTCTTAATGACACAGCATAGGCCTATAAGCCTACAACAGTGCTCGTCTTAGGATAGGACTCACAATAATTCAGTAACACTCAGGTACAATGGTGTACATGAATGGTATACAATACCGACAAGATGGTATAATGGCATAAAATACCGACACGATTAATAAAAGCATAAATTTAGTACAATGTGTTGCTTTATTGACAAAGTTTCGCCCAAACAATGAGTTTCACCAGGAAGACATTATGCGCACGTTTACAGGGAACTTAGTGACATGAAGTCAGGTGACAGGTAGGACTTGATTAAGCCCATTGTGTGAGAGAAACGTTGTCAACATAGGATCACATTATGCTGCGTTTGTGTCTTTGTCCAACACTCTGGCAGATATTTACTGCTGGATGAACAGAGACAATATTTACGTACGAAGACAGAACAGACAACGAGTAACCAGATCATGAACATGTAAGTTCATTACCAGTGTAACTTTGAACAAGATATTGAACACTTATTAAGGCTGTGGGACTGAACATTTCAAAAATTATCTCTCCACTTCTTCCTCTGTCTATAGTAATAAAATCACCTCTGTATTCGACTGAAGAAGCCTACAGTGCAGGCGAAACGTGTCGGCAATAAAGATAGCCAAGTGTTGCTCATACGTCATATTCATCTTCCTGTCGATGTTTTGTACCATTAATAATATGACAGGTCTCGTTTAGAGAGAGAGATCAGGATCTGGGTCCCTTGGTGAGCCACACCAGTTCCCTGGTGAGCCACACCAGTTCCCTGGTGAGCCACACCAGTTCCCTGGTGAGCCACACCAGTTCCCTGGTGAGTTACACCAGTTCCCTGGTGAGCCACACCAGTTCCTTGATGAGCCACACCAGTTCCCTGGTGAGCCACACCAGTTCCCTGGTGAGCCACACCAGTTCCCTGGTGAGTTACACCAGTTCCCTGGTGAGCCACACCAGTTCCTTGATGAGCCACACCAGTTCCCTGGTGAGCCACACCAGTTCCCTGGTGAGTCACACCAGTTCCCTGGTGAGCCACACCAGTCCCCTGGTGAGGTACACCAGTAGCTCACTGTAAACCAATGAACTTCTGGTGTTGTGTGAGGAACGTACCGTGCGTTGCTTGGGCTTGATGAGTGGTCGGTTCTGGCCGTTCATCTTGTAGTAAAGGCCGCAGGCGTTGCACAAGTAGTGACCATTACCGTCGCGTCGCCACAGCGGCGTCGACGTAGCGCCGCAGTTGACGCACTCGCGGCCCTCTGCCGGGAACACCGCATGCGGCACGATCAGTTAAATATCATGTTCCACAATTGTTCAATAAATAATAATAATAATAATAATAGTCTATTAAACAACATTCGTTGAATAAACACACATTTTAACATCAAATATTGAAAATATATCCATATTAAAACGTAATATAAAACTATAAAACAAAACTCGTAAACACAAATTATAACATTATATCATTATACAAGTAATAATAATTTATTAAAAATTGAAAGAAACAAAACAAGTAAACACATAACATTAGACAATGAAAAAACCTAGCGTAACGTAATGTAACCTAACCTAACTTAACCTAACATAATGTAACCTAGCCTAGCCTAACCTAACCTTACTTAGCATAATCTAACCTAACGTCTTTAATTATCAGCCTAACACACTGGACTATGTTGAACTGACTCTTCCAAAAGTCTCCTGAGAGTTGGCTCAGTCAGAGGTAACTTCAAATTGAGCACTTCTGAAGTGCTTAAAAGTCGACGCTCTCTCGGTGTTTTCCAGAACTGATTCGATATCATTACTTGGCTCAACACCAAGCTGGCAGTTACCGCCTCTACGCTCTTTAAAATGGCGATACAGACGAATGGGAAATTTATTTGAATTATTGAGCACAGTGATGAGAAGACCCTATGGAATAGCCGACGGGCGCGCGCGAGATTCGTGCTAGTGAGCCCACGGGCTAGCTGTGGCCTCGGCGACGGCCAGGGATAGGGGAGGCAAGAAGGGAAGGGATAGGAGAGGAAGGGATACAGAAGGAATGTGCAATGACTAGGAAAGGGATAAGAATTCTTTGTTAAATTTTCAACATTATGTACAAGTATACTTTTTACCCGACTTTTAATTCTTCCAGCAGGTACGACAGGATAAGACATTCCAGCAGGTACGACAGAATAAGACATTCCAGCAGGTACGACAGGATCAGACATTCCAGCAAGTACGACAGGATAAGACATTCCAGCAGGTACGACAGGATAAGACATTCCAACAAGTAAGACAGGATAAGACTTTCAACAGGCACTTCAGGATAGGACATTCCAGCAGGTACTGGAGTTGTCTTACACAGAAGTGGAGTGTTTATTCACTCAAAATATGATCTTATAACAGGTACTGGAATTTTTAAACACATTTTGTCCAGGATGCGACTCACCACAGTCGCCGAATTAACAGGTACCTATTTTTTTAACTACAAAGTGCACGGTGTTATCAGGGAGTGTAAGGAAACTAGCACATACGTTTATCTTTGCCAGGAAATCGAACCCGGGACCTTGCAATTGTGAATCTACTGCCCTCACCAGGAGGCACGCGGCAACCCGGAGAGAAGGAAGCGAGGAGGGATAGAAGGGGGAGTGGAGGGGAGAGAGAGAGAGAGAGAGAGAGAGAGAGAGAGAGAGAGAGAGAGAGAGAGAGAGGACGGCAGGGAAGAGTGCGAGCAAACGGGACAATTTGCCCACATATTCAATTAGAGTTATCAAGGTGTTATTAATGAAGGAGGACCAAGGTGGTAATTGAGGATAATCAGGTGTGTGTTGCGGTTAATTGAGGGAAGAGAGGCGGAACCAATTGTCCTGCTACGGTGCGAACAGCTGTCCTTCTGTGGAGGGGGGGGGGGGGAGGATGGGGTAAGAACTGGTCATATATTGGGAATAGGGAGACTGATGGATTGGTAACTACAGGAATGCGAAGACTGCAGGATTTGGGAAATCGGGAGATGGGGAATTCTGGGGAATGGGCAAAAGACTTCAAGGATGGGAGACCGGGAGATATATTTCATTCATGGGGAAGCTGCGCTATTATTAAAAATTTAAACAAAAAAATACGAAAATAATTGTAAGGAATATAAATTCATGCCATATTTGTATTTAAATTATTGCTTTAATTTCTGAAAGTATTTCTCCTATAATAATAATAATAATAATAATAATAATAATAATAATAAATTTCTTGGTTTTACACATTAGTTCATAATAATTTGTGATTATTTTTATTGCATTTGACAGGGGAAGGGGCGTGGACTGGCAGGGGATGGTAGAAGTGAGGGGTGGGTTGAGGAGAGGGGTTGGTTGGGGTTAGGGGATGGTAAGGGTGATGGGTTGGTAGGGATGTTGTTTGGTAGGGATGTTTAGGCTAGTGGTGGTTGTCTGGGTGTGTGATTGATAATAGTATGGGACAGGTATGGTAACTGGTAGGGGTGTTGGATTATAGGAGTGGTAGTTGGTAGGGGTTTAGGGTTGGCAGGAGTAGTGGTTGGAAGAGTTGGGTGGCAGGGGTGGTGACTGATATAATTGGGTTGCAGGGGTGGTGGTTGGAAGAATTGGTTTGCAGGGTGGTCGTTGGTAAAGCTGGGTTGCAGGGGTGGTGGTTGGTAGAGTTGGGTTGCAGGGGTGGTGGTTGGTAGAATTGGGTTGCAGGGGGTGGTGGCTGGTAGAGTTGGGTTGCAGGGGGTGGTGGCTGGTAGAGTTGGGTTGAAAGGGGTGGTGGCTGGTAGAGTTGGGTTGCAGGGGGAGGTGGCTGGTAGAGTTGGGCTGCAGGGGTGGTGGCTGGTAGAGTTGGGTTGCAGGGGGTGGTGGCTGGTAGAGTTGGGTTGAAAGGGGTGGTGGCTGGTAGAGTTGGGTTGCAGGGGGAGGTGGCTGGTAGAGTTGGGTTGCAGGGGGTGGTGGCTGGTAGAGTTGGGTTGCAGGGGGTGGTGGCTGGTAGAGTTGGGTTGCAGGGGGTGGTGGCTGGTAGAGTTGGGTTGCAGGGGGTGATGGCTGGTAGAGTTGGGTTGCAGGGGGTGGTGGCTGGTAGAGTTGGGTTGCAGGGGGTGGTGGCTGGTAGAGTTGGGTTGCACTGGTGAACCGCGGAAGTGTCTGTGAGGTGCCAAGTTTAAACAACAGAGGCGGAGTTCAGAGAAGTGTCTTGAGGATGTGAAAGTATTGTTGTTTCTGGTAGTTGACGATGATTTTGGCTGAGATGGAGAAAGAGAGTGAGGGAGAAAGGGAGAGAAAGGTGAAATCGTGGAAGGGAAGTAAGGCAGGATGAGGGAGCTAGATGGAAAGGTGAGGAATGCCTTTTTCCTTACTATATTATACAAAGACGCACTCGACACACACACACACACACACACACACACACACACACACACACACACACACACACACACACACACACACACACACACAATATATATATATATATATATATATATAAAGCATTTCTTATAGGAAGAGGAAGAGAGAAGGAAAGGAGGACTGTGAGAGATAGGTAGATGGGTAAGAAAGAATAGGTAAGGAAACAAAATGGGAGGATGCAGGTAGTATATTTGTGTGTGTGTGTGTGTGTGTGTGTGTGTGTGTGTGTGTGTGTGTGTGTGTGTGTGTGTGTGTGTGTGTGTGTGTGTGTGTGTGTGTGTAAGAGAGAGAGAATCTTGCTGGATTGAAGAAATAAATGTATAGTGATGCTCTGACTGGAAGACACGAGACAGAGAGTGGTACTGGGAAGAGGCAGGACGAATTAACCAATGGAATGCTGGAGGTGGAAGTTAGGTTACTAATGAGGATTTAATCAAGTGTTGGAGATGCGAGTCTAATTAAGTGAACGTATATTGGAAGGGTTGCCAAACTGAAGGAAGAACAGCGGAGATAAAGTTCAGATAATCAACATGAGTGTTGAAATCGTGGAACTAATTTCACAGTCAGGAGTGCTGACGTTAGAGAGCAGAAGCGTGAATTTACGATTAGTTAAGAGCATAACTGTTTCAAAATTATAAAATTATATTCACAGTGCGCTAAATGCGTAAGGGTCATAATACACCTGGATTTCTCTAGGTGCAAGTCGTGGAAGGGGATTAGGATGAGGTAATCAGGTTTGCATGCTGAATGAGATATCAGACACATTAGGCAAATATCATAAATTAACTTGAAACAGATAATGCAACTGTAGATATAAATCCAGATATACTCATATTAACTCTTTAGGGGCCTAATTCCTAAGTCTTTTGTATCCATATTCTCTTACGCTTCCCTCCACAGAATGAATATGAGGGACACATTAAACTAGCCGCATCGGGGGCAAAATCTATATCTAAATCAAAATCTAAATCTAGAGGGGTCTCACCTGTGCTGGATCTCTTAGAGTTCTTGGACTTGTCGTGTGAAGGAGAGATGGCTGTGGACGGTATGCTGGAGAAAGGCTTGCTGAACATGGAGCTCACTCCTGACGAAGGATAGAATCCTGAGTACCCGGTATGCGCAGCGAAGTCCATTGAGGAGTGGGCAGGGTAGCCCGTGTAACCCGTGGGGTGGGCGGAGGAGTGGGCAGGAGAGAGGGAATGGGCCGGAGAGAGGGAAAGGGTGGGCTTCGAGGCGAAGGAGGAACTGAAGACGGGGGTGTAGGAAGAGTCAGGCTTGATTTCCAGGACTCCTCCTCCTGGTGAAGCTGTGATACGGTCTGGGGTCATGCGTGCAGCTGCTGTGTCTTGCTGTTGCTGTTGCTGTGCTTGCTGCTGTGGCATGGGGCTGCTGCTCATAGGGTGATCCTGTGGCTGTTGCTGCTGCTGCTGCTGGGGCGGTGGTGGCTGCTGGCTGTTGGGTGCTGTTGGGGCTTCTTCTGGCGGTGTAGGTGGGTACCCGTAGGCGGCATACCCCTGGGCGGGCTGATGGGTCTGGTGGGCGGGTGTGGGCGTGGGCTGGTAGGTCTTAGCGAAGGGCGTGTGCCAGGAGGAAGCGGGGGTGTTGTAAGCAGTGGGGGAGGCGGCAGCCATCTTGTCAGTGCCCAGCCAGGAGTGCAGGGGGTTGGGGAAGTGAGGGTGAGCACGGTACATCCCGCCCTGGGCGAACCGACCTGCAGGGAGACACAAGTAACAACACACATTAATAAACAACAAAATTTAATTGAATAATAAAAAAAAAAACAGCCTACATATTCTCTGCCAAAATAAAACAAATGCTTTCTTGACGATATCAACAAAAAAAAAAAAAAACAAAAAAAAAAAAACAACGAAAAAAAACTGATATTACATCAATATCGGCGTGTCCCACACACTTTCACGACAAAACATAACAAAAACATGTTTGTAAGTCAACATAGCTACTGTCACGAACATCACCCAGACAATAGAATCATACATCCCGCCCTCTCGACCCGATGGTAACAGGGTGACCGAAAACAAATTTTTCTATATAAAAAAATATGTTAATCCTCATCCCTTCCCCACAGGCAAACAGTGGTGAAGGCCTCCAGATATTACACCAGCAACACCAGCGGTCTCCCACCCCAAGTGTGTCCTTTCTCCCACTCTCCTCAGCAGTATCGAAAAAGAATGGAGTTTGACAGTCAATTGACGGGTTGAGTGGCAGTGGTGTGAAGTGTGAGCGTGTGAGGGCCAAGCAGATGGATGGCTGGTTAGTAGGTTCCATTGTTTGCTATTGTTTGGTAGCACGTGGTTAGTTGGATGGTGATGGGGTCTTGGGTGTGGGTGTGTGGAGGGGGAGGGAAGGGATGGGATGGGTGTTTTTTCCTCTTTGATGGAGGGGCCCCATTCCAAAGTTTCCTTGTAATCGATGCTATTGTTTTCCTGGAGTAGGTGAGCGTTTGGGTGGGCGGTTGTTGAGTAAACTGAGCGAGGCAGGAATGGAAGGAAGTTGTGCTTTTGTTTGTGTACTCACCTAGTTGTGGTTGCAGAGGTCGATTCACAGCTCCTGGCCCTGCCTCTTCACTCGTTGCTATTAGGTCATTCTTCCTGCTCCATGAGCTTAATCATACCTCTTCTTAAAGCTATGTATGGGTTCTGCCTCCACTACATCACTTCCCAGACTATTCCACTTCCTGACAACTATGTGAATGAAGAAATATTTCCTAACATCCTTGTGTGTGTGTGTGTGTGTGTGTGTGTGTGTGTGTGTGTTGTTACCTGGAGGTTGCCTGGAGGTTATTCCGGGGATCAACGCCCCCGCGGCCCGGTCCATGACCAGGCCTCCCGATGCATCAGGGGCCTGATCAACGAGGCTGTTACTGCTGGCCGCATGCAGTCCAACGTACGAGCCACAGCCCGGCTGATCCGGCACTGACTTTAGATATCTGTCCAGCTCTCTCTTGAAGGCAGCCAGGGATTTATTGGCAATTCCCCTAATGCTTGATGGGAGGCTGTTGAACAGTTTTGGGCCCCGGACACTTATGGTGTTTTCCCTTAGTGTACCAATGGCGCCCCTACTTTTTATTGGGGGCATTTTGCATGCCTGCCCAGTCTTTTACTTTCGTAGGGAGTGATTTCTGTGTGCAGATTTGGGACCATTCCTTCCAAGATTTTCCAAGTGTAGATTATGATATATCTCTCCCTCCTGCGTTCCAACGAGTACAAGTCAAGTGCTTCCAAGCGTTCCCAGTAGTTAAGGTGCTTGACAGAACTTATACGTGCAGTAAAGGATCTCTGTACACTCTCTAGATCTGCGATTTCACCTGCTTTGAATGGAGATGTTAATGTACAGCAGTATTCTAGCCTAGAGAGAACAAGTGATTTGAAAAGGATCATCATGGGCTTGGCATCTCTCGTTTTGAAAGTTCTCATTATCCATCCTATCATTTTCTTTGCACGTGCGATCGTGGCACTGTTGTGATCCTTGAAAGTGAGATCCTCAGACATTACTACTTCCAGGTCCTTTACATTATTTTTCCGCTCTATTGTATGGCCGGAGTCAGTAGTATACTCTGTTCTAGTTATTATCTCCTCCAGTTTTCCATAACGGAGTAGTTGGAATTTGTCCTCATTGAACATCATATTGTTTACCGTTGCCCACTGGAAAACTTTGTTTATATCTTCTTGGAGGTTAACCGCGTCCTCAGCAGATGACAGCCTCATGCAGATCCTAGTATCATCCGCAAAGGATGATACGGTTCTGTGGTGTATATCTCTATCTATGTCTGATATGAGGATAAGGAATAAGATGGGGGCGAGTACTGTGCCTTGTGGAACAGAGCTCTTCTCTATGGCAGCCTCCGATTTAACTCTGTTGACCACTACACTTTGTGTTCGATTTGTTAGGAAGTTGAAGATCCATCTCCCCACTTTCCCAGTTATTCCTTTAGCACGTATTTTATGGGCTATTACGCCATGATCGCCTTTGTCAAATGCTTTTGCAAAGTCTGTGTATATTAATTACATCTGCATTCTGTTTTTCTTCCAGTGCATCCAAGGCCATGTCATAGTGATCCAGTAGTTGTGAGAGGCAGGAGCGACCTGCCCTGAACCCATGTTGCCCTGGATTGCGCAGATTTTGGGAATCCAGGTGATTTGCAATCCTGCTTCTTAGCACTCTTTCAAAGATTTTTATGATGTGGGACGTCAGAGCTATTGGTCTATAGTTCTTACCTAATGCTTTGCTGTCACCTTTATGGAGTGGGGCTATATCCGTTGTTTTAAGTGACTGTGGAATTTCACCCATGTCCAAGCTCCTCCTCCATAGTGTACTTAGGGCACGCGAGAGGGGTTTCTTGCAGTTCTTAATGAAAACAGAGTTCCACGAGTCTGGGCCCGGGGCTGAGTGCCTAGGCATGTTGTCAATGGCTTTTTCGAAATCTATCGGAGTTATGGTAATGTCGGAAATCTGGCATACATTTATGGAGTTTTGAGGCTCATTCATGAAGAAATCATTTGGGTCGTCGATCCTCAGACCGATTAGTGGTTCACTAAACACAGAGTCGTACTGGGATTTCAATATTTCACTCATTTTCTTGTTGTCATCTGTGTAAGTCCCATCCTGTCTGAGTAATAAAGGCAAAACACTGCTCGTCCAGAATACCTTTACCTGTTGGGAGTCAGTCCCCGAACAACAGTGAAAGAACACCAAGAACTATCAGGATATACTAAGGAAAGGGGGAGAGAGAGGGAGGGGTGGAGGGAAGGAGGGAGGGGTGGAGGGAAGGAGGGAGGGAGGTGGAGGGGAAGGGGAGGGAGGGAGAGAGAGAGAACGCGTCTGGTAACCTATCTTTCCCTTGCTGCCCCCGTGGCCTCACGTGCCGGGCGAGGCCAAACGAGGGTGCTAATGCGTGGGCGCTGATGGTAGGTCATTATAGGGGCGCTGGAGTTACGGATGGGCGCTTTTACAAGTGATTGGTGCCTCCCACGTGACCCCGAGGCCTGTTGGGGCATTAGTCTTTCCCCGTGGCTCTCCGCCAGGCCTCTGTGGAGGTTCCTTGAAGACCCTTTCTGAACGCTCCTTGGAGTCCCACTGAAGAGGCATCTTGAAATCACACACTGGAGGATTCCTTGAGTCCTACTCACACTCTGGAGGATTCGTTGAGTCCTCTTCAGGAGGTGGCTTGGAGTTCCACTCTAGAGACTTGATGGCGTCTCAAAGAGGTTTCTTGGAGTCCCAGTCATGAAACTTTTTATTTTAGAGTCTCACTCTGGAGCAGGAGCAACAGCAGCCTTGCAGCATTAGCAGCAACAGTAGAATGAGTAGGACTGAGAGCAGCAGCTGAAGAAACAGTAAAATCAGCATGACTGGCTGGAGGAATCCTACGCAACAGCAGCAGCAGGTACGGGCGAGACCGCAAAGCCACAAGTCCTGGTCCCAGCCACTAAAAGAAGCCAGTTTCAAGACTGACCGACAAGGCCCAAAACATCCGCCAAACATTCATTTTCCCCTCAGACACATTTACTTTTTCGACGAGGGGGAGCCGAGCGGAGGGTAATGGGGAATGACAGTTAACATCTGTATTTGGCAATGACTGCGGTGGAGGCTTTCAGAGCTAATAGGTCTAAGTTGGAGTTATGGCACGCCAACACTCCAGTGACGTCTCAGAACTCATTTTCTGTTTCGAGTTTCAAGAGCCTTCCAGAACAATTTAAAACGGATATACATTGTACAGCCCACACATTGAAATATTTTTTTTCACAGTACCTGCTATCAACTTGAAATAAAAATATTCCCACAGAAAAATAATCATTAAAAACCTTCCATGGGATAAAAAGAAAGAATCAAGTCTGTAAACAAAGTGGAGATGACGAGAAAAAGGTATAACAAAAGAGGGTCTAATCCCGCGTTTCGGGTCTAATCCGCTGAGACTGTAGAAGCACTCAGAACGTAATACGACAACAATGAAGCCGCCGCAGCCAACACATTCTTACAGCCAACATGATTTGATTTTATGACAATCCAGAGAAACCCGAGTGTGGAGGCGGACGACCCAAGGTGACAATGTCGTTCCTGTCTCTATCCTGTTATTTTTCCTGACTTTGTTTTACTATTTGATGCTTTCTAACCCTCTTGTTGTCGTAGTTTTTTGTTTTATCGTGGTCTTATTCTTCTGAACTATTTTTTGTTGCCTATTCATGCTTTCTTATTTGCCTCTTCAAGAACTGATATTACAAACATTTACGAACGCAATTTATTTCTACTGGAGTGATAATGTGCAATGGTAGTGATAACTGAATGTTCATATCATAGCCTGGTTCTTAGTTTAGCCTGACTGATGAGATCCTGATCCACCGGGAGGCCTGGTCATGGACCGGGCCGCGGAGGCGTCGCCCCTCCCCCCCGGAAACGCCCTCCAGGTAGGTAGGTAGATCCTTCTTAATTATCAGTATTCCCAGTCAACGGTCACCATTCTTGTTTACTCTGGAGAGAATGATTCTTAACAGACTATACTATATGGTTTTATGAAAGGAAAAAATTGCTACAGAACGGTATTACTACCTTTCTCAACGCACACTCTTCTATTATTTGTACCACATTTCTTGATCTAAAATATGCATTTGATATCGCAAACAGAACTGTTATCCTTAATGAACCAGCCAAAACGAATATTAATGGTAACCTACTCAGTTGGATAGTAAGTTTTCC